TTATATTATTAGTCGTTTACTGTTATATTGCACAGGTTATTTGACTAGTGAGTGTCTTGACTGTACCTCTTCACTACTCCACTGAGGTTAGTCTTGATACTTACTGGGTACCGACTGTGGTATACTCATACTACACTTCTGTATATTTTTATGCAGAGCTAGGTATTGGAGATATCGGACTCGGACAGAGTTATATTGGTTGATCGCAAGGATTCGAGGTAGAGATGCTTGGTTGTCGTAGTCCCTTGGAGTCTTTTTCTTTCTTGTACTGTCAGTTGTATATGAACAATATCGTATTTCAATTTCTGAGATATTTCTATGTATTCAGTTAGAGTTCGTGACTCTGTATTATCAGTATTGGGAGGTTGTTATGATTATTGCCGCATAGGTTTATTTTCGCTTTTGTTTCGCTACTTGTATTAAACACCATTGCAAATTAAAAAAAAGGCTTAAGTTGTTATTGTAATCGGCTTACCTAGTCTTAGAGACTAAGTACTATCACGACGTCTGTGGTGGGATTTTGGGTCGTGACAATGGTTAATTACCTCCGTCACCAGTCACTTCTACAATCTGCCAACATTATCAACCACATATACCATCAGTCTCCATTGCATGAGTAAAATAATCAACCAACACCAGTTAGCCACCCATACTACTAACCATCAAACAAACATCAGTTTACATCGCATATTCATCATCGTCAATCACCAACCATCACTACGACCAGTTACGCCCAATCACCATCATTAGCCATTGTCGCACACCACTACCGACCAACAATGCATAACCATTATGACCGACCCTTACACAACTACGACCACCAGCAACAGAGGTAGACTATGATTTGAGTGCGACATGTGCACTACTATTTTTAGATATGTCAATTATTGGCGACAAAGTTCGACATATAACTTGTTGAAAACTTAATTATGATAATGTATTAGTAGAGTACAAACTCTCCCGTTGCCAAGTCGAAGTCCACAAATAACGATGTTTACCCTTAAAATGGATAACAATAAAATTTGTACGCAGTTTAAATGATATGTGGTTTGATTTAACATGAATAATCAAAGAATAGGAAATAATAGAATTGAAATGAGATAGAACAATCAAACTAAAGCAGGAAAACATTGCGTCAGGCTTAAATGCTAGCGGTCGGTTTCAATCAAGTCCTCGAGATAGAGCCCAGATCTAGTTAAATGAGTGAACAATTGAAGAACAATTAGAATAATTGCTGAGAGTCAAAATAAATTCTATTGCCTTGATATGCTTGCAAAAAATTGTGAAAAAAATGAAGGGATCCCCCTCTTTATATAGTAGAGGAGTTTTAACCATAATACGAGTCTAAAAAAAGTAAAAATCTTTTCTTCCCTTTCTCCCACGAAAAAAATGATCTGTAGTCAATACCGAGTGTGATCCACGCCACAATATCCGATTGATGGCTGATATTTTGGCTCCCCGTTTTGTCTCTTTTAACCGTCTTTCCTTTACTCTCGATTTTTCATCTCACTCGAGCTTGACTCTTTCCGGGTTCGGCCATGCCCGAGACCCATTATATCGTTCGTTCGTCCATCCCTGTTTCAATCTATGGGTACCTTTGGTCGTACTTGAACCTGTAACATGTAACGTCGTTCCTCGTTCCATAACGAGAAATCGGGGGTGATTCTATCCCCGATTTTATCCATATATAGATAGTCCCCTCACTTCTCTGAGAGTAGATTATAGGAACGATGAGAAGTAACTAATTGACCCCGGTTCCTTCTCTCATATATCATGAGCAATTTGACGAACCGAAACGTTCCATCAGCCACATCGCTCTGATTTTTGACACGCGTCAGCAGTCGGTTGGACACCCCCAGTAGTTACCGAATTCGAAACGTTTTGCAATTATTACTCTTTTCCTATAAAAGTTTCGATTTCCTATTTTCACTTTTTACTTTCTGAATCCAAATTTCTTTATGTTATCCTCTGGTTTTTTATATCTTCATCTGTTCATCAATCCTTCAAATCTTCATAACTTGTCCTTCATATCTTCATATCCTCATAGTTTATCTTTAAGCCTTCATAACTTACCTTCAAATCTTCATACCAAATCTTCAAATCTTCATATCAAGTCTTTAAATCTTCACATCAAGTCTTCAAATCTTCATAAACTTAGATAGAAAGGGCAGAGACTACAAAATTGGTACCACAAAATACTGCTCCGACGACTTCTTTCTCGGCCACCGCATCGAGGTAGTGCCTCCAGTAGTAACCCTGAACCTCCCCTTACAACTTTTATCCCTAGCGGCTACTCGATAGATAACGACTTCAATGATAGAGAAGGCCTCCACACAAGGAGATCGGGGGTGAGGAGATGTGGATGTACATTTGCTCCATTACCGATGAAACGCTCAAGGTTGTCCTAGAAGATTACAAATGAGAAGGCAAGGACGTAGTCGTTCCCAGTACTGACGAGGACATCATGACATGCATGGAAGGATACTTAAGTGTTTACATGTATCCTTTTACATTTGGCCCTGTTGATACAGTGGTCCTCGAGTTCTGCAATAGGTACGAAATTTTCCTCGGGCAAGTTCATCCGTCCTTTTGGAGGATCGTGACTCTTCTTCGTTATTTTGCAAAAAGTATGGAGGAGCCTCGGTTCACGGTCGATCACTTACTCCTACTTTACAGCCCCTAAATTTTTCAAGAGGGGTTAATCAAACTTGCCTGTCGGGCAAAGAATGCTCCTTTCTCCTGCATAGATAAAGACAGGGACCAAGGTTGGCAGGGTAGGTTCATTCGGATAAATACTAAGGATCCACATTTCTCCTGAATTCATGTCGTTCCCTAAAAAGTGGAACCCAAATCGTAAGTTTACTTTTTCTTAAGTCGTCAAAGTCCTTTCTTGTATCTATGACATGTTTTATTTGATATGCAGCTATCCCCAGAGTCCCCAACGCGGTCCTGCATTTTAGGGAGTGGGTCGAGGGTATATGCAAGTAACTCACATATTTTGAGCGGGAGTGGCGTAAGCTCTCCAAAGGCAAGTGAGAGGCTCGTTCTTACGGTGAGTGTTTTTTTCCCTTGTCGTTTTTATTCTATTATTGTCATGACTAAATTCTTCTTTCACAGGTTTGCCTAAGACCACCAAGCTTCGGGAAACCACCGATACTGTGGTCTCGACCCCGTCTTCCAAACCATCTTTCTCTCTGCAGCCCGTTGCTGAAGCTACTGCAAAGAAGGAAGAAGAAGAAGAAGAAGAAGAGATCTCTTGACTCCCCAAACACTCCTGCCGAAGTCAAGAAGAGAAAAAAGATTATGCTCAGGGTCAGAAAGAGCACAAAAAAGACCTCTGATGCCTGGGTCCTAGATTCTGAAGCTCTTTGTCAGCTGAAGGATTTTCCCGAGGATGACGAGGACATGAAATTCGTCACCCACAAGCTGATCGATGCCGACCAAGAGTTGGTGGCCCCTGAGGGGGATACTCGTAAGGCTGAATCCTCCTTAGCTCGGAGGCCCGAAAAAGAGCATGTGGCTACTGCTTCGCAAGAAGATCCTCCGATCCCGAAGAGAGTCGTCTCTGAAGGCGACACCGTCATCCACATTCAAAAGTCACCGCCTCGTATGGAGGCCATTTTTAATGAAGCTCGGTTCGCTAAACAGAAGCCGACTGAAACGTCCCTGGCTGTGGATGTTGCCCTTAACTCGTTCTTCGAGGGTGTGGACGTCTGTATGCTGGGAGACTACTCTGGCTTTGGCCAATTAGAGATCCCGAAAAGGGTTGTGCAACTGGGATTAGGTGGGCTGTGTTCGATATCAAAGCTTGAGAAGCAGTTTCCCTCCCCCGAGTGTGAAAAACAAATGAAAGAAGACGGTCATGTTTACAGTGTCGGCAAATACTAGCATGTTGTTCGGGCCAGTCAGAGTGGCCAACTATTTCATTCCTTGGTAACCGAAGAAGACCAAGTGAAGATGATTGAGGTGGATGGGCCAAGTCTTTTCAATGAGGCCCGACATGCGCTGAATCGGGTATACCTTCTTCCCTTTTCATTTCAATGAGTTCCCGTTGTCTTAATTGTTCTTTAACGATTTTCTTTCTCTATATATCAGGCCTTGGTGCTTCATCATGAATGATTTCGCTGATTCAGGATGGAGGTGAATCACCTCGAATTTGAGCTCAAGGAGCAGGTCCGACAAACAGAGATATACAAAGCTCTCTGTGAGCAGAAGGATGAAGTCCTTAGGGACATGACCGATCTCCTCGCCTTTCAGATCGAGCCGGAAGGAGGCCTCTAAAGCAAAATAGGACCATGCTCTTATGGTTGAGAAGGTAAGAGTGCTGGATATTGATAATAAGAGGCTAAATGCCAATGTTAACGCTGCAACCTCACAGGTCTAGGAAAAGATAACTTTGATAGACCAGCTCAGGACCGAGATGGACGGGGTCAAAGCTTCAAACCAATGAGCTGAGAGGCAAAATGGATCGCCTAGCATTGGAGCGGGATGCCACCAAAGAGGACTTGGCGTCGACCAAAGTGTAGCTCCGAGTGACGAAAGAAAAGGCCGACAAATGAGCTCGGCTGAATGAGGAACTCCGGGCATAACTCGCCTCAGCAGTCGCAGAGCGTGACGCTCTTGGCCTAGAGTATACAACGTTGAAGTCCAAATTGGAGGTGGCTTCGAACGAGGTCTCGGAAGCTTTTAAATAAAAATAAATTATATACATATTAAGATGATGTAAAACAAATAAAATATCTCTATCATCAACGTATATTCAAATTAAAACATCTTAATTTTAATAACTAAACAGTGTCTTAAACTTAATTAAAAACAAATAAGCCTTATATTTATCCCATTAAAAAAATCTGGCCGAAATATATTACTCACTCATTTATTTTAGGAGGACAAAAAACAAAAAAATATCATGAATGAATCACATTACATTACACATGGCAGGACCAGACACGCAGATCAGTACGACAAAGGATTTATACAGGTGTTGCCCCCAATATGTCAAATAGCCATTTTATTGCCTCTCTATCTCGTGTATATTTTCTCCCTCTTTCCTTCTTTGTCTCGTTTCCAACTGCAATTCTATTTTACTATCTGTAAATTTCAATTGGAGGGTTTATCCTCGATCCGATTTTGAATTGAGATTTACTTCGTTTTTTTAACAATGCCGTCGCTCTTCGGTGGTCCGATGACTACATTTGAAGATTCTGAAAAGGAAAGCGAGTATGGTTACGTTAGAAAGGTACATTTTCCTCCTCCTTAGATCTTTGATTTACTTGCCATATCTTTTTTTTTTTCGAAATTCATATTCAATCTTCCGACTACTTCTTTGATTTTTTCTCTCCAAATTCTACTTCAGATCCATTTAATCCGAGTATTACCTTTGATGCTTCCTTGAGCTTGATATCTGTTATCTTTTATCTTATTGGATGGAATTGTATATTAGTTGGATCGGTCTCACTTCGCTACACATTCTTATATCATTGCAATATTTTTCGGGACATAAATTTCTGTAAATGCTAAACTTGGTAGTAACTGTTCGGCCTTTGCTTAATTGCTTTAAAGTTTAAACCTTTCTTTGTCAAGAAGCTTTTAGAGTCGATCATTGGTCAAACAGGTAGCTTGTATCTTGCTCACGAGCTAATACGACTTAAAGCCAATAAACTTCCTTATCTGTCGACTCTGATTACTGCAGTTGTAATCGTTTAGGTTTTTATTTAGCTTTTCTATTTTGTTCACGATGTAGATGATCATATAAATATGGAAATATTGGTTACCAAATTTCTTTGTTGGTTTTGTGCTAATTGAATGAAATACTTTGCCCAGCATTATTGGTTCTCCAACTTCGAAGTAAAAATTACCCTTGCTAGTACTTGGAGTTTATGTTTTTGCCTGCAAATTGTGACTTGTCCTATAGGTATCTGGACCAGTGGTCGTTGCTGATGGAATGGCTGGGGCTGCTATGTATGAACTTGTTCGTGTCGGACATGACAATCTCATTGGTGAAATTATTAGGCTGGAAGGAGATTCCGCTACAATTCAGGGTATGCTGTTGAATTTCTTTATGGACTAGCTTGGTTGCCATAATGAAACTTGAATTGAAATTACAAACAAGATTTTTTTGTTGTTAAGATCTACTTCTTTTGCAGTCTATGAAGAAACAGCTGGGCTGATGGTGAATGATCCTGTTCTACGTACACACAAGGTAAATAAATAGACTACCTCTTCTCAGTTATATTTTTTTAATTGAGCTGTTTGACTTCAAATTTCAAATAGGCGAATTGATGTTCTGTTAAATTACAGCCCTTGTCTGTAGAGCTGGGTCCTGGAATCTTGGGAAACATCTTCGATGGTATTCAGGTTATCATCTGACGATGTCCTGCTATTTTTCTCTTAATTCTTTACTGAAGTTTGTCTGAGTTCGATTACTGTGTTGGAAGCTCCAGTTTAATTCTTACTTTGTTTTTGTATGTTTCTTTCGTCAATAATGCAGAGGCCGCTTAAGACAATTGCAAAAAGATCTGGTGATGTCTACATCCCTCGAGGGGTATCTGTTCCAGCCCTTGACAAGGATATACTCTGGGAATTTCAACCTAAAAAATTAGGTATTTTATAGCCTTTGACTCCATAACATGTTGGACTTAGAGTTATCCTTGTCAAAACTTTAATTTCATCATTGATGACTCTGTGTAATATTTCTGGTGCCAGGCGAGGGAGATATCTTAACTGGTGGAGATCTGTATGCTGTAAGTTTGATGGGACTCAATTTCTTTTGAGGAAATTTGTTTTGGTCCTTTTCCAAAACAGTGTTCCAGTATCCTCCTTTATATTTGAATCTATTCCTGATTTTGCAGACCGTTTTTGAGAACAGCTTAATGGAACATCATATTGCTCTTTCTCCTGATGCCATGGGAAAGATTACTTACATTGCTCCAGCTGGTCAATACTCTTTGAATGTCCGTGAATACTCATCAAACTTCATACAGCTATATATTTGCTATAACTGTGCTTGTTGGATTAATAAACAAATATATAAATCAATGGGTCACTATTTCTTTTGCACTGCTGCATATGATATGAAGTTACTTTCTTATAAAAACAATGTTTGTCTTTTAATCTTAAAACTTGTTGCAGTGTCAATGAAGCATGTCTAGTGCATGTGAAACTTTGCCACCCATTGTGACATGTATTAAAATTGGTACCTGAACCAAGGACCTAGGTTCAGGAAAAAGATTAGATATCTATTTTCCCTTTTTTTCTTTGAACATATAAAAAGATGGGAAAATAGATATCTATTCCTTTTCCTGAACCTAGGTCCTAAATGCATGTTTGCTGGCCCTGATAGTTATGTTTTAGATTTATTCTTGTGGTATATATACCTATTACTTAAATTTGGTTGTGAGGATATTCATTTCTCAATATAATGTTTTTATTATGTTGTTCTTAAATTTGGTATGTATGCCTTTCTTAAAAGAAGAAAAGCAATAGATGGGTGTAGGCTATGAATTGCGGACTTGCCCTATAATCTTCGTCCATTTTAAGCATAAAATAAATTATTGCAAGCAATACATCAACTTATTACCAGGAGATGTGATGGATTCTTCCTCTCATTGATCACGCAGGATACTGTTCTTGAGCTCGAGTTCCAAGGAGTCAAAAAGCAGTTCACTATGCTTCAGGTCATTGACACTCTAGTCTCATAGGATTCTTAAATTGTCTTTTGCTCTTTTATTCTAGCAGATTCAGCAGTGGATTCTGATGTTAAGTTGCCCTCATCTATAGAATTGGCCTGTGCGTACACCTAGGCCAGTTGCCTCAAAGTTAGCTGCTGATACTCCTCTTCTTACTGGACAGGTAATTAGTGCCGTAGAATATTAAGCTCCTTTTGGGTTTCATGTTAGAATCTTGGACATTTTTGCTATAATTTCTCTATTTCATCAGCGTGTTCTTGATGCTCTGTTCCCTTCGGTGCTTGGGGGTACTTGTGCTATACCGGGTGCATTTGGATGTGGAAAAACAGTGATTAGTCAAGCTCTTTCCAAGGTGAGGCTCATTTTGCTTCATTTTTGACTTTCTACTTTAATCTCAGATCTAAAATTAGATGTTTATCCTTGTTACACTTCTTCCAATTCACATTTGATTCATGTTGATTAATGAATGCAGTACTCTAACTCAGACACCGTAGTCTATGTTGGTTGTGGGGAAAGAGGGAATGAAATGGCAGAGGTATGCGCTCTTGACTCTATTTTGTGAGCTCTTTATTATCAAACTCGAGTTGCATAACACAAAGTTGTTAATTTCAGGTACTAATGGATTTTCCTCAATTGACAATGACATTGCCTGATGGACGTGAAGAGTCTGTCATGAAACGTACCACACTTGTTGCTAATACTTCTAACATGCCTGTGGCTGCTCGTGAGGCCTCAATCTATACAGGTTGCTACTCTCTTCACTCCTCTAACTTCCTTGATGCTACATTATTAATTGGAGAAGCGCCTTAAGTGACATTGCCATTGAACGATCTGGTCTTGTATTTTGCAAAATATGAAATCTCTTCTCTCGTTGCTCTAGCTCCTATAAGTACAGTTTACTTAGCTTGAGAATTTTAAATGCTGATATGATCTTATTCCCTCTTATCTCTTGCTTCATTGAAACGATATGAAGGATAATTACATTAATGTTCCACTTTCTGCTCTAAGTACCTTCATGTTTAATATGCAAACACTGCTGCTTGCTCTGTGTTATGGTATAAGTATCAACTAGTTTAAAATAAACAACTGTGTCTTACAAGCTACAACCTGGTAGTTCTTCTTTTCCTTTTTTTTTTTTTATAAGTAACACAACATGGTAACTCTTGATGTTGTACAATATCATTTTTCAGGCATTACTATAGCCGAATATTTCAGAGACATGGGCTACAATGTGAGCATGATGGCAGATTCCACATCTCGTTGGGCCGAAGCTTTACGTGAAATTTCAGGTCGACTGGTGAGTATTTATTCCCTCTATTGGCACAAAGTCAAATAGCCTCTGTATTGCAACAGCTCAGATATCCTCTTTCTGTTTTCGGAAAAGCTTTCTGTTACTGTTTGGTTGCTCGTATTATGTTTGGTATTTTCATACCTTACTCATTATAGTACGAGTGGCGGAGCCACCTTATAGGAAGGGGTGTCCCTTCGCGGGAAAAATACACTGTGTAGGTAGTTAAATTTTTTTTTATATGTATTGACTCCCCTTAATTTCGTGGCATGTTTACTTTCGTATATTTATTATGGTGTTCTAACTAATTTTTGACTTTCTTTGAAGCATTTTTTTCTATATTGTATAGAATTGGCCTGAGGTGAATTTAAATGGGGAACATGGTCAGCGTGGATTCATATAGTCAATCCCAACCTCTTTGGAATTGAGGCATAGTTATAGTAGTTGTTGTTGCATGACATTTAGATTCAGATAAAGTTTGCTTCTAGAATTAGATAAGGGATTTAATTTTTTTCCCTTCTTGTAAGACCATGCTTTCAAAATGAGAGAGTGATTTGAACCAGTTGTTGAGAGAGATAACATTGAAATTATAATTTCTCTTCGCAATTTGTTGGAAGGAACTTTATGGTATCTCATTTTAGCTTTTCTCCTTTTCAATTTCTTTGTGTTGGAGTGTGGCTGGACATTTTGGCTTTGACTCATCGAAGTTCTGTATTATGGTTTCACTGTCTTTCTTGTCAGGAATCAATTGAAGATTAATTTCCTTACCTTTTCACCCTTTTGGGGAGTTTCTTTTTTTGGAAATTAATTTCTTGAGTCGAGGGTCTACCAGAAACAACCTCTCTACCTTCTCAAGGTAGGGATAAGGTCTGTGTACGCACTACCATCCCCAGACCCCACTTGTAGGATTACACTGGGTTTGTTTTGTTGTTTTATGTAGTGTTTCTCAGTTATTTTATTTTGAACTTGTGTGCAATAGAGTCACGCTGGCAACTAAAAGGGAACTTTTTATTACTTTCTTCTTTGGCTGCTCTATTCTCTTGTTTCATTTCTTAACAGACACTCCTTCATGCATGTTGCTTGCTGGTTGTGTAAGCATTCTTTTTAACTGAAGGCTTGGAATGTATAAAACCTATCATACAGTATTGTGGAAAAGATTACCTTCTCAATCTGGAGCCAAGTGTTTTTTGTATTGTCTTCTTGTAACATACGTTATGCACCTTTCAGGCAGAGATGCCTGCAGACAGTGGATATCCTGCTTATCTCGCTGCACGTTTGGCATCTTTCTATGAGCGCGCTGGTAAAGTTAAATGTCTTGGTGGACCTGAGAGAACTGGGAGTGTGACAATTGTTGGTGCTGTTTCTCCTCCTGGAGGAGATTTCTCAGATCCTGTTACATCTGCAACCCTGGGTATTGTTCAGGTTGGTAGAACCACAGATCTACACTATTGGAAGTTTCTCTTAGATATTTCTCTAATATTGTTCTTTTCCAGGTCTTCTGGGGACTGGACAAGAAATTGGCACAGAGGAAACACTTTCCTTCTGTAAATTGGCTTATTTCCTATTCAAAATATTCAGGCGTATGTTGTTTAAATGTTCATGTTGATATTCTTTATACAGCAAAACTTGCTCATCATCCACCTTTTGCTTCTTCTAGTCATTGGTTACATACTGCTTCTCGCTGACTCAAGTTTCTATATCCAGGCCTTGGAGTCCTTTTATGAGAAGTTTGATTCCGATTTTATCGACATAAGGACAAAAGCCCGTGAGGTGCTGCAAAGGGAGGATGACCTAAATGAAATTGTTCAAGTATGTCCTTATGTTGCTTTCTCTTCTTACTTTTAACATTTCTTCTGTGGTGTATGTTGTAAAGACAAGCCGACC